TAGGGAACTAAAAGTTAATGTTCTTTCACTCTGACTTTTTTGGAGGAAAAAAAATTTAAAAATTGCTAGAAATCTGTATTAGTGAAAAGAAAAAACAACTTAGAAAAACAAAACCAAAACAAACACATCACTACAAATACCTGTCATAGAGATTCCATAGTTTGGTTTGTATGTTTCTGTGTTTATTTATAGCTGTTTTTAAACATGGAGTGTGTGTTTTGATGACTGTCCACGAAAGGGCTTTATTGCATATGCTGAATCTGCAGAATTATGTTCGAGTTAAGGCCTTTCAGTCTTGATTTCACCTTTTAGTATCTTTGACAGGATAAGTTGTTTGCTTTAGACTGCATCCTGGTGGGACAAGAGTCTGGACCATTGCTATCAAGCAGTCAGATGCATCTTATTCAGAATTTAGATGATGCTTAGGTCGGTGACAGGTTTATGCTGAGGAGACATTGATTGTTCTGCTGCTACAATGGAAGAAGAGTTCAAAATGTGTTGTGTTTTGGGGTGTTGGTTTCTTTTTGTTACTGTCATCTTGATTGAATGCACTTTATTTGTAGTGATGTAACAGGTTGAAAAAAGGCACAATTCTTCTTACACTGTGTAAGTCACAGCCTAATTTATGTTGGAATGGACCTCTAGCACTCATCTAGCCCAGTCTTTGTGTCTGACTTCCTCACATTTCTGAGTGAATCAACAAGTCACCCCTCAATTATGTAAATAAATGGTTTAGTGTTTTACTGTGGTTCCGCAGACCTGCTGCAGAACGCTTATTGATGGTATAAATTGGTGATTCATTGCTGCCCAGTCTGACAAAAACATGCCTGAAGCTTTTGGTAAACAAATGTTGAAAAAGGTAAGAAAAAAAAAGTTGTCTTAAATGTCTAGATTTGGAATAAGGGAGAACTTATTTTTAGTGACATACTACTTCATCTTAATGAGTAAAAAAATTTCTTCTTTTTTAATATCAGTAGTGTATTGGTTAAACATTGACTCTTTCTTCAAAACCTTAGGAGCTATTTCTTTAATATAAGCCTGACTGGTGGTTTAGATTGATGACTGAAAGGGAGCAAACTAAATGTAACTCAAAATAGTTGGTCTCTTATTGAATTTAGAGGGGAAAAAATTTCTGTGTAGAAATAACTATTATTAGGGAAGAATTATTGCTTTGTAGCATCCAAGTGCTACGCCTGCATCTATTTTGAATAGCCCAATAAACAAGTGAGAATTATTGGCTACAGGAAGTATGATTGGATACAGGCAAACAAAAGGAATTTCAGTTACTATCATGGAATATAATTCTTGTCATAGCATGGTCAGTAGGGATAGACAAGAGTACAATGCAGTCTTCTGGGTGGTATCGTAAAGCCACATCTCCTTGCAAAGTTTAAGGACAAAATGGGACTTCAGGGTTAATAAGCCTGGACAGCTAATATCTGGTTTAACCAAGTAGACCCATTTCACTTGGCCAGTGCACTAAACTCCTACTTAAAGAAGATGGTATGAGAGCATGAATATTGGCTTACACGGAGCTATCTTGGCTCTTACAGCCTTCAGCCTTCATCCTGTTCCCATGGAGGTGCTAAAAGCAATAGTCTGTTTGCTTTGTACTCTCTGGGACCACCATTGTTGTACTTGGTGAACCAGCCTGGGTATTTCTGTATCGTACACATAACTTTTTTTGTTAATCTGTAACTCAGATAAACTGTTTGCAGATAAGAAAGGGGGTTGAATTTCCCAGATTTGGAGGAAATCTTGGTAAAAAAAACCTGAAGCTGTTACCGGGAAAGCTAAGATGAGTGACATTAATGAAGAGATTGACTGCAATAGTGTGTTTCTTACTGAGAATGACACTCCATTCCTCTTCTTCAGTAAGTCCCTAGCCGTGGCGCCAAAGTGAACTCAGGGCTGCTTGCTGTCAGAAGTCACACTGGCAAGCACAGAATTATGTGCAGCTACCTAGGAAGAACACTGCATGGAGTTTTTCTAAGCTTTCATGTGGCCACAAAACTGTGAGAAGTTGACTTCTGCAACTTACGTAAGGGTGAAGCTGCATAATAAAGGCCTGGTGACTGTAAAAATGCATCAAGCTGGGCACTGATGGCTTTGTACTACATGGTGCAGTTGCAAAGCTAGATTCAGAGTCTGCTTTCAAGTTTTCTGTGAAGTTCACCTTGAATATCTGAGGTATGATCTCTAACTTTGCACCTACCAAACTGCATTCCAGAAAAGTAAGAAGCTGGAGCATAGAAGGGTGCAACTCATCCATGAGAGACAGATGGTTGCCATGTAAGCTGAGCTTGATCTGCAGTTACCTAGCTTCAGCCATGTTTTAGTAAGGTGGAAGAAAGCAGAATATGAAATGAACCTCTGAGAAGACCATGAGCACACATGTTTTTCTGGTGCTACCAACATAGCTAAAAAGCTTATACCTCTTAAGCTAGCGCCTTGTGCTCCTTCCTATTTTTTTCCCTGCTGTCTTCCTTGTTGAAGGTTACTTTCCCCTTGGATCTGCTGTCTAAGCTGCTGGCTTCTAAACCCACTGCAGTCAGACACAAAGTTTCAAAATACTAAAGCTAACTTTGCACCTCTTCAGTGAAACAGTCCAAAGAGTAAGGGCAAAAACGTCTCAGCCAGCAGCTCTGAACGAAAAAAAGAAATTGCTGGCACAATGTAGTGGTGAGTAGCTGAGACAGAGCAGAAGCAATAATGTTTTCAGATATTGCTACTGACATTGAAAATAGATGTGAATTCACAGTGTTACATTATGCCTGTGGTTGTTTTGTACCTCCAGACCAGTTTAATGTAGTGGAAGCACATTCTCAGCTCTTCATCTTTTGCTGGTTTAAAAGTGTTGTGGTGGGGAGATGTTTTGTTTGGTTTTGTTATTGTTTCTTTTCTGTTGTAATCAGTTGTTCTTACAACTATTGTAACAATAGAGATGCAGAATTTAATCTGAAAGTTACAGCTGTAGCTCCTAGGCATGTTTTCTACTTGGTGATGAGGATAACTTGCAGAATTTTTAAAATTCTTGGTTTAAAAGCATCTTGGGCTTCTTTTGTGTTATCCTGGCAGGAGAACTTTTTGGTAATAGAGGCTCTATATTAAAAGTTTATACTGATACTGGACTTCTCTGTGCCAGTATCTTAGGTCAGCTGGGATCCTTCCTGATGGTGACTCCCATGGCCTCAGACTATTTAAAAACAAAAAACCCACCTCTCAAAGCAAATAAACCCCATAGTGTGTGAATAATCACTGTCCTTTTATGTAGTTCATTTTTAAGTGAAAGTAAAACACTCATATCTCATTCTTAGGTTCCAGTAATTGCTGTTAGCCACAGGTGCTAGCAGAGTCAAAGTAGTTAGAGTAATTGTTACAGCCAAACTTCAAGTAGAGATATTGCTCAAAAATTCAGTAACAGTTTGCCTAATGTAAATTTATGTAGTGCCATCGTTTTTAAGCTCACTAAGTCAAGAGCAATCCCAGCTGTTCTGGGATGAAAACTGAAGACCTTAAAAGCTGGTTTCACTCATCAAATGAACTTGTATTTAGTATACATACAGTATAAATACATAGTATAATGTAACTATGGTGATGGTATAATGATAGTATATTGTAAGTAAGCACAAAATTAGTTGAAGATAACTGACAATATTCTGTCACTTTTTCTTGTGTTAGTTGACGGATATGGAGTATCTTTATGCATGTTACAACTAGTGTGTGTATAAATGCATGCAATGTATAGTGTGTACATATTCTCCCATATGTAAGATGGAGACAGGGGAGCTTTCTATCAAGGCTAAGTTTGAATTTTTTACTTTAAACCAGAGAAGTTATTTCTTCCTGCAACTTCAATAAGCTTTGAAAATATTAGTCACAGATATTTTAATTATTTATTGGTCACTTACACCTTTAATACCTAGTGCAGGATTTCCTCTGTTGAAACATCGTTCTTTTTTCATAGCAGGAGCACATGTTTTGTAACAGGAAACTCTGGTGGACTGGCTTATTAAAAATGACTGGCCTGTTGAGTGAATCCTTCTGAGGAAGACACATTTTACAGTACACTTTTATGACCTAAGCCTGAAGGATTGATGTTGTACCCTTTTCATTATATGAAAAGATATGTTACTGCCTTTTAGACTGTTGGCCATCAAGATATTAGTCTAGTTCTGATGGATGTTCTCTTTGAAACATACATGTAATCTGAAAATTGTTTTATTGTATCTACAAAAATTTTGATTATGGCTTTTAGACCTTTATAATCTAATTACATTTTGGCTACCTTCATGACAACCAGGACGTAATTATTTCTGCCTGTTAAGTATAACTCTATATGGAAAAGAGCATGCATCTAATTTAAAGTAGCTACCAATTTCACCTTTATGTTGTAGTAGAAAATAATGTATATCTGTAACTGAGCAAGAACTATTTGCCATTTTATAAGTATATCTTGGGAGAAAATCAGTGAGTGTGGTTGTTTATCTTTTAAACAGATAAATTCAAACATATGCACAGAGCTGATTTTAAGACTCTTTGCTATATGGCTTATCTAATACCAAAGCAAGTCCTTTCCTATGTAGCTGTGGGGAAAAGGATGCTTATCACAGATTTTTCCTGTGTGTCTGAGGATGTGGCTTTGTCTTCATACTTGCATACCTCAAAAGAGGAGATGTCTTTGGTTTCCTGAGCCTGCATTATTGCTTTTATTTTCTGTGTATGAGATAAGGACCTTGTGTAGGTTTTGTACCAGGTAGGAGACATCAGAGAAGAATATATGTTAGGACTTCAGAGAAGTAAGCCTTGGGTTAGGTTTTTGCCCTGGGGAAGGGATGTCAGGTTTTATTAGAGACTTACAGCCCTTAACTCTCTTGGAAACAGCTTAGCTATTGAATTAAAACTAAAGATGAAGAGTCTACGGTAAAGTAGTATCTAGAGCCACTGCTTTAGCAGCATGTTGCTCAGATTCAGTTGTTTTCACTGCCAGAAGGTGGGAAAGGCCAGTATTTTCTTCCTGTTAACGCCTTGTTGGTGATTATTGGCACTTACCAGATGATTGATATAAAAAAAAAATATTATTTTATTTTTCTCAGTTACAGGAAGACTACTGGAAGAAGGGAATCCTAGGTTCACGTTTTTGATCTGAAAATATATACTGGTTCAGAGAATAGTCTGTGGAGAATGGATGAGATCTCTAAGGTCTTCTCCATTTCCAAGGAGGTTTTGGGAATTACAGTAGACATGATCTTTCACATCTTGAAAGCTTCAGCTAATAATGTGGGGTAAATATTTTCACCAGAAGGAAATTAAATTGTTTTCTTAGGCCAAGGGGTGGATCCAGTTGATGTCTTCCAGCTGTGTAATGGGAAAATATAGAGAAGGTAGAGCTGTGCTCTTCCTAGAGATGTGTAGTGAAAGACTAAAGAGGCAGAGGACGCAAATTGCACTTTTTGCGTTTATGGATGCGGTCAGACAAGGAGGGCTTGCTCAGAGGCTGTGGAATCTCCATCCTTAGAGATGTTCTAAACTTGACAAGGATCTTAGCAGCCTGAGCCGTCTTTGGTGTTGGATGTCATGTTGATTGAACTTGGAATAGAGACTTGAACTAGATAAGCTCTGGAGGTCTCTTCCAACATAAGTTGTTCTGTGATTCTGTAATCTGTGGATTCTGCCCGACTTAAATGTTATTTAGGTGCTTGTGCCAGGATTGACTTGTATGTATCCTAGCGTGCCTAAAGTAAGAGATAGAAATGCCAAGTTTGACCTATGATGGGCTTTGCCTTCTGTTGAGTTTTTGCAGGTCAGTTTGGCTGAGTCCCATTTTTAGGGGCTCAAGTCTATTTACTGATTGAGCCTGAGATGTTAAGATTAGATGTGAGCACCAGAGTACTGTTTTCTAGGGGGACTGTTTTCTTTTTGTAACCTTTCATTTTGGAGAAAATGAGTAGTGCTTTCTCTGTGTTGTGTTTTGTTTGGGTGGTTTTGGTGTTGTGGGTTTTGTTTAGTTTTTGTGGGGTTTCTTTGGTTTGTGTTGGTTTGGGTTTTGTTGTTTTGTTCGGTTTTCCTCCAAGCTGCTTTGCTAAAAAAGTGAAGTTTGGTATGATACCACAAATTTCATTAAAATGTCTGACTTAATTTGTACATATGTAAAGTACACAGCTGAATTTACTGCTAGAGACGATTGTATGTGTTGGCACTGCAGATGTGAAGTTCAAGTAACGTTTGTCTGTAAAACCTGATAGGAATATACTGTACTCGCCTGTATACCATGTCATTTGCTTGTTGTTTTCAGTAACTTCCTAGGATTTTTAAAATGTTAAAAGTTAAAAATGTTACTGTTAAAAAGGAAGTGTTCAACAGAACAGGTGTTCATCCATTTGAAGTCTTTGTGCCTCGCTGTCATGGATAATATTGATTCAAAACCTGAGTTTCAATGAGTCAATGAAATCACTGTTTCCTTCTTCCATGCTCACTGAAATGGCTTGACTTTTTCAGCTCATCTTCAAACCGGTTGCTGCCTTATATAGTCTACATAATATACACTGTGATAAAGATTTCTTTTTCTATGTGTTCCATGTCTTTTACAGGGCCAGCCATAAATTGATGCCTAAACTTACTGTTTTGTTACCGATTGCAAGTCAATTTCTGCATCCTTTAGTAAAGATATGTAAAACTAAATAGGATTTTTAGAATCTCAAGAATACAATCTTGAATAGTATAATCTTTCAGTTTCTCACTCCTGTGTTGTAAGAAGGGAAGCTACTTTTGAAATAGGTAAAGCTAAGATGTGTCTTGTGTGCTTTTTGTGTTGTTTTTTTAAACAGTATTTTTTTGTATTAAATGACACTCAGTACTGAGTTCACAGGCTTTTGCAATTAGATAGGTTTTGATCTATTTCCTTTTTCAGTCATACGATTTTTTCCACACTTCTGATTTTTAAGAACATAAGGGCACATTTCACTCAATTAAAGGAATCTCATACAAGGTCTGAAGTGTTGGAGAACTTCTGTTATTTTGGCAGCATTTCAGTGATGTATTGCACTTCACCAGTAAGAATGTTTGTGTGCTTTTAGAATAGCTTTGTATTGTGTGTAAATTATTGAGTGGTCAGCAGCTATTAAAATCCTATCACCAATCTCCTTTACTGATGTTAGTTGAACTATTGGACTATGTGGAACTTGTTCAGCTCTTAACTGAGACCATCAGTTGCTGAGAGCACTAAGAGCACTTGTCTGTGGTGGTGTGTAGCACTGCCTTGCTTTGATTTTATGACACCATCTGACAGTGACTCTTACTTATTAGGTTTTTTTCAAAGCAAAATCAGGTCCTTCAAGAGAGGGTTGTTGAAAGCATTCTGGCTGTGTCTTGCCTAAGTAATACCTCATTTCTGTTGCTGTGCGTTGTTTCCATTGATTCACAGTGTTGCAAATACTCTTTTCAGATAAAGAAGGAAAAATGATGATGCAGATAATTGTGAGTAGAATGTAACTTACTACTGCCACTTGCAAATTACATTCAGTGTGAAGCTTACAGTGTACTGCATAACATAAGGTTGTGTAGTCATTCTATGGTCGTCTTTGCTATCCCAGATAGTATAATTAGAAAGCAGTGGATGGTGACTACAGAGATAAAGAATAAAGATCATATTTGTGGTTTCTTGTGTGTGGAATTCTGAGATGCTTCGAAAGAGGCATAGCTGGTGAACAAACTGAGGGCTGTGGTTAGCTGGAAATCGTTGGCACTTCAAAGAGGTCACTGTAGTAGAAGTTCAGATTATCTGGAGGAAAGTCACAAAGGTCACCTTAGAAAGGGAGGTGGGGTGCAGAATTGAACTGTAGTCTTTTTCCTTATTGCATTGTACTATTGTTTTTCTCTCTCCTGTCAGAGTAAGCTGTTTATGCTGAAAATGTGTTAAGATGAGAGGAATGGTGGAAGTAAGGATTTCTTAACCTCTTTTTCTGGCCTAGTAACAAACTCTTAAAGCAGAACTAGATTATCATGATGCTGCAGGCTTGGTGGGTACTAGTGTGTCACAGACCTAGTGACTGACTGCCCGGGATCGGGTGTAGCAGAATTCTCTCATTCTTTTTGGGTGAAGGTTACTATAATTTTCACATCCAGTTACTAAGGGTTTCATGGGGCAGTCATTTTTAGCATGATCAGAGGTTGTGGTATCTGGGTTTCTGAATTTCTCAGAAGTACAATGGGATCTGTGGATTAAAGATTGTGTTCTTTGCTGACTTAGTGAAGTGCAGGATAGTCTAGTACAGGAGAGGAAGTCAGGAGTCCTCTAAAGCTTCAGTATATGTTATTCACATTTTACCAGCAAGCTTGCTCTCTGGAGGTGGTTCTTTCTTGTAAATTTTGCAGAACGACTCCAGATATTGAGGAACTCTAACTTTCTGTGGATGATTTGCTTCCTTTAGCTCATATCTCTTGCAACTGGTTACATTTTAAAATCAAGATCAATGCATCTTTAAACTTAAAAACACATGTAAACACATGAACATCTTTTAGGGATGTTAAAAACGGAAATGTTGTTTTACAAAGAACTAAGTATAATTTATTAAGAGAATCCTGTGAGAAGTTTTCTTGGATAGAAGTGAGATTTACAGCCTTGTTTCCTTTGACAGATGGTCTACATTCCCTTGTCGTCACTTTTGCCATGCTTTACAAGAATACAGAAGTAGCACATAACATGCAAAGCTGGTGAGATTGGTCAGTTCTTATTTGTGAAGTATTAGCTTTTCTTCATGCCACCGTAAAACTGGAAAGATAATAGGAGTCATGGTTGCTATTTTTCCAACATGAATTAGTTTCTGCAGAGAATGGCAAAATTGGCAGGGCTCCAAAGGTATGAACTACTCTGCCTTCCTATGGAGAGCCTTTAATTTTGAGGAAATAGCTCTTCAAAAGATTCAACATCCCACCAAAGAAACCCACCAAAAATGTGAACAGGGGTCTGTAAGTTCACACTTCATTCATGTCATTTATTAATTACTTTTTTCCCCTCATTACAGTTGTTGACTTTGGCACACTTTATCACTTGTTTTATAAAGAAGCAGCACAGGAAAAGGAGAACAAATCTTATATGGAGTGGTGGCTTTATAAGTGAGACTTTTCTTCTCTGTTTTTCAGATTCAATATTGCATAAACATGGGTGCATTTTTGGATAAACCAAAAACTGAAAAACATAATGCTCATGGTGCAGGGAATGGCTTGCGTTATGGCCTCAGCAGTATGCAGGGATGGAGAGTGGAAATGGAAGATGCTCACACAGCTGTTGTAGGTATTCCCCATGGCTTAGAGGACTGGTCGTTTTTTGCTGTCTATGATGGTCACGCGGGATCTCGTGTTGCAAATTATTGCTCCACGCACTTACTAGAACACATCACTAACAATGAAGACTTTAGGGCGACAGAAAAACCTGGATCTGCTCTTGAACCTTCAGTGGAAAATGTCAAGAGTGGGATCAGAACTGGCTTTTTGAAAATTGATGAATATATGCGCAATTTCTCAGACCTCAGAAATGGGATGGACAGAAGTGGCTCAACAGCAGTGGGAGTTATGATTTCACCTGAGCATGTGTACTTTATCAATTGCGGTGATTCACGTGCTGTTCTCTATAGGAATGGACAAGTCTGTTTTTCAACACAGGATCACAAACCTTGCAACCCAAGGGAGAAAGAGCGAATCCAGAATGCAGGAGGCAGTGTAATGATTCAGCGTGTTAATGGTTCGTTGGCAGTTTCTCGAGCTCTGGGGGACTATGACTACAAATGCGTTGACGGTAAAGGCCCTACAGAACAACTTGTTTCTCCAGAGCCTGAGGTTTGTGAAATTTTAAGGGCAGACGAAGATGAGTTTATCATCTTGGCTTGTGATGGAATCTGGGATGTAATGAGCAATGAAGAGCTCTGTGAATTTGTTAAGTCTAGACTTGAAGTATCAGATGACCTGGAAAAAGTGTGCAATTGGGTAGTGGACACTTGTTTACATAAGGTATGTAACTATTTTCTCCAAGCAGCTGTTCTAAAATAATCTTCTGTTTAGATGGGCACAGTTACTGATCTACTCTTCCCCTTCTCCCTCTTCTTCTTCTCTCAGACTTTGGTACCCATTTGACTGTATATCCTTGCTGAAGAATATACAGCTTTATCCTTTGTGTCTGTGAAAGCACTTGCAAAAAAAGTTTATTATTTTCTCGAATAATGCTTGCATATATTTCCTGCTCTAAACTTTGTTTTCAAATACCATTTTTTTTAATTAATAATTTCTGTGTAAGGTATTTTGTTTCTTTTACTTGTTCTTTCAAATTGGGCACTGTTCCTATCCTTTGCATAAACCAGTGCTTGCACTCCTTCCTCTTCGATGTATGGTTTGTCTGTCATATGAAGTTGTTGTAGCTCGTTGTTGTAGCTTAGCTGGAGAATCACTACTTTTGCATGTGAGCTTGCTTGTACTCCTCAAATTTAGAGTTAGTTTGAAGCAACTACAGGTTTGTCTACAAATGCTTCATAGCTGTGCTATTTCTAGCATTCCCTGATAAGTGCAACTCCTGCTAGTGCTAATAGAGTTCCTTTGTTTAGCCACAGACTAAACATGCAATTCTGAGGAAAATATTACAATTCAGAGTTCTAACACTAAAGAGTAAGTTTTGTCTTGTTGGTTTTTTTTTTCCCCAGAAATAGGGTTGTACTCCAGCATATACTGTACATTGTATGATTGGATTAAGTGCCGTGGCTTTTCTGACCAAGCACTTGACCACTGATGTTAAAGGATGGTCACTCTAGTATGTTTTCAGTAAAACTGAGCCCTGACCTTTTATATTTATTTTACAAAGTCAGATCCTGGATCTCTGCAGTTTGTAACAGTACTAGAATGTTGTCCTGTCTTCAGGATGTGAATTGCACCACATAATATTAACTGCTCTGAAAGATAGTTGTCCCTGTATGCTTAGTATGAAAGAGAACATAGAATAACTCCTGAGTAGTTCTGAAGAAATTTTTAATAATGTCAGATTCCTACTTAATTTCTTCAGAAGTTTCTCAACTTGATTTCCAAATGGGTATCTGGAGCTAGTTATTCTAGTGGACCAGGATAAATATTCTGCATTTCATTTTGCAACGTGACTTGTTTTTTATCTTGTCTTAAGGTAACATTAAATTACTGTCTAATTTCTCTGACCTGTTTTCTTGATACTGTTTTTAAAGTACTGACGGGTAAATAAGTCCATTAAGTATGTTAAAGTTTAAGACTAAGAATGTACAATAAAAATCAGTAAAATTCTAGCAAGTAGTTTAGTTGGGAAACTTAGATATTCTTATTAATCAAAATGCAGTTTTATTGCAAGGTTTCTTTCTTTTCAAGTATATCTTAAGCTTATTTTTCATTTTTCTCTTCTAGTGACGTTACTACTTTTTTCAAATACATCACTAAAGATCCTAACTCTTCTTTTTTCTTTGTCATATAGGGGAGTCGTGATAACATGAGTATCGTACTAGTTTGTTTTTCAAATGCTCCTAAGGTCTCAGATGAGGCAGTGAAAAAAGATGCTGAGTTGGATAAGTACTTGGAATCACGGGTTGAAGGTAAGCGATCCATTTTGTTCCTTAGAAATGCTGTCTTAACCTTCTTGAGCATGAAAACAAAAACCCTGAAAGCCACAATGCTACTATATGTTGGGTTAAATTCAGGCCTGGTTACAACTCTATATTTGAGTGTCAGGAAAAATGTCCTGTGGTTAATTTATCCTGGTATTTCATGAGCATTTTCTTAGTTTGAGCTTTAGGGTTTTTACTTCTATCTTTGTAGGTCAAAATGCAACCACTGACCTTGCAGTGTTATATCAGCGAAGTAAATTGTGATACTGTTAATGTCTTACATATAAAATACCATTAAAAGGGATACTTGTGATACGTGCTCTCCTTTTTTTGTGGAAGTTGTTGACAAAGTTGTATTGGTTTTAATGAAGGGACAACTTAGCTAACTATCCAAGCTTTGTTAACTGCTTCTATTTAATACGGCTGCGAGTTACTTTTCACACCAACAGCTTTTTTTAATGCACCCTTGCAAAAACTTAGCAGAGCATAAATTATCAAAATACCTATGAATACAAGAGCTGTAAATCATCCCTTTGGATTCAGAATGCTTACCAAGTGTCTGTATACGTCTGAATAGAAACCACGTAATCATCTAGAACTTTCATGGAGGACTAAACTTAACTCCTAACCGGTTTCATTTAGTCACTGATTTTATTACTGTCTTTACTTCTCTAAAAGCTTGAATGCAATTTCTTCCCTTAAGCAGAAACAGAGAAAGAAAATCAGCTTGACTAAGAATGAAAGACTTGCCCTTGTGTATTTATTGCTTTTCTGCAGCATTCTTAATATTAGAAAACCTGATACTTGAAGCAGGCTTTCAAACTGCTGCTTTTAATTGAAAATCTTTTGTCACTGGTTAAGGCTGTTCTAAGGTCTGACAACAGCTATATGTAGTGGGCTCCTTACAACTATTTAGTGATCCAGGTGTAGCTCAGTTTTTGACTAAAGTTCAGGGCTGATATTGGAAGCTTGCTGTTCTTATAATATGTTTCTTATGTTGGCACAGGTTTTTGCAGAAGTAACCCAGGCATGAAAATAACTGAGTTCTAGGAACAGTTTGTCTTGCTGTTACAAATGCTACTTCACAGTATTACCCTAGCATCATTGGAGAGAAGCAGTCATCAGAGGTTTTGAAAGCCTTGTTATGCTTCTTTAAACTTGTGTAACCTCATCAGAAGGGTACTGAAGTACTGTCACCGCTTACAGTGATGCAGCTTATTAACCCATTTGTTGGAGCTCTCAGTTATAGCGACAGTATTCATGGAAGGAAAGAGTTTACTGAAGATCAAACTGGTTGAGATTATACCGTTTCTTGACTTGTTTCAGGCCTGGACTAGAATATTCTGATCACTAGATCCAAGCTTAACTGTGCTTCATGCAGAGGTGATCCCGTTGTAGATGGATAATGAGTCATGTAGCCTTCTTGGATGTATTTGTTCTATGTACTGAGACCAGTAGTATATAGCTTTATACTATGGTATTGCTGTCCTGATGGTACTTTTCTCTGTTCAGATTGAAAAATGTGTTATTGGCAGTCTACAGGACTGTTCAGCAGAGTTCCATGAAAGTAATTTTAAATCTGTGTGCCAAGATGTTTGGAACTTTGCAGGTCAGAACCAGCATGAAGCCACCATGTTGAGACTGTAACAAGGTCTCGATGACAAACCACAGCTCTGGCTGCTGTCTGCCTGAGTTTGAACATTTTTTATGAAAAAAGGTGTGACTGACCAAACTCTTCTCAATGTGGATCTGGAAACTTTTCAGGCACCCAAGCATAGTGTGTATAATTTGTAGAGGTAAAGTACTTGGTTTCCTTTCTTATAACTATTTGATGAAAATTGCTAATATAGGATTTCAGCACTACCACATACTAGATAGACAGCACTTCTGTTTTTCTTGTTGGTTTTGGTTTATTTGAATATCTGAGACACTCACTGGCTTTTTAACATGCTATAATGGATACTGAAAGGACTGATCGGGTGTACTTTTGCTAGAAAGTAGTTCATATCCAAATAAGTAGCATTAGGTATAAATGAGAAATAATCCGTAGATCCGAGGAGATCAGGAATCCTCTGAGAAGAGTGTACAACAGCAAAAATGCCACAGGTAACCATTCATAACTTTTAACACTAATTGAGTGTAAAATGCAACAGTGACATGGAAATGTACATGCTGCCACTGTAACCTGGTTGCTGTGGACAACTGTTAGTTTTGCTACTTTAGTGTGAAAAATTATTAAACTTATTTTAATGGTAGAAATGACACTGTAGATATAAGTTAATATTTCATTTGTCTGAAACAGCTGTGAAAATCACTCATATTCTTTGTCTAGATATCTTTCTTTTTTATTGCACTCTTATTTAAGCAAGTGAGAAGAACTCAGAATGTTTTTGTCTTTGCGTCAGTGTCCTAGTCATGTAACAAAGTCAGTAATGTAACAG